CTTTGACCTTGTTTATGGCATCATTTGCCATACGTTATTTTTCTCTTTATGAAGTCAAGCTTTTATCTTGTTCAGATCTTTCGAGTTTCCTGTTTAGTATTATGAGAGCTCCCTAATTTACATGTTACACATTCTAATAAATACACACATTCTAATAAATGTTCTTATAATTTAAAAAAATCTTCCCCTGATGATATATCCATTGATTTTAGAGAGAGAAGGGGAGAGAGAGAGATCAATGTGAGAGGGAAACATTGATGTACATGCCCCGACAGGAGATCAAACCCACAACCTCAGTGTGTGCCATGACCAGGGATCAAACCCACAACCTTCTGGTGTAGGGACGTTGTCCCAACCAACCAAACCACCAGCAAGGGCAATGGTTCTCATAATTTAAATCCATCTGGAATTTTTTTGGACTATTTGTAAGACAGGGATCCAAACTGTTCTCCCTGGTGGATTGCCTTGTACCATTTGTTTTATACCTTATGCCATGATTTTTACCTCTTGAATTAAAATAAAATATACTATTGTTACATTGGGATTGATTTTGGTTTCACCTTTCTGTCTCAATGGATTGTCTAGTTCTGGGTGTGTACCATACTGTGGTCGAGATGGCTCTCGAGTATTCTTACATGTCTGGCAAGTCAAGGTCCTCTTTACTAGTCTTCGTGTTCATGATCTGCGCTACTCTCATTTATTCTTTCATTTGAACATTGATAGCATTCCTTCCATTTTCAGAAAACTCCCTGTTGTGATTCTAATTGAATATGAACTGCTCTCTGTGAATTGTGGCATTGTGTAATACTAATTTATGTGAATTCTTTATTCCTAACCTTGTGGTCTGTCTTTCAGATGGCTTTTGTCTCCTTTCTTGGCCATATAACTCCTTTGGTTTTTGTGTAAAATTTGTTTCTATGAATTGTATAGTTTTTCACATTACTATGAATGGTATTTTCCCCATTTTCATATCCAGCTGATTTCTTGTCAAATACAGAAATGCTGTTGGTTTTGTATGCAACCACATGCCTTGGGAAAGATAGGAAATAAAAATAGATAGATACAGATTTATATAACTATGTAAACTATATTTTAAAATTAAAATATTAATAATATATTTAAATTTAGGATATGCAAATACATATTTACATAGCTATATGAGGGGGACTCAAAAAAGCCTGGAATTATCTTCTGAAGGGCAGGCCTCTTGTAGTACAGACTCTCCCCAACTAGGCAAGTGTTCTAGGAACCCATCTGTATCTGTTCCAGCTGGCGTTGTTGTGAGAGGCTGAGTTCAGCTTCAGTGAATTTGTTTTGAAGACTCTTTCAATGCATTTGCCCATTTCATGATGGGCGATTTATGAGTGCACCTGTCCACACCATGCTGAGTATTTAGTGGTTCTTGACCAAAAATGGCATGACCCCTGTTCCCCGCCCTTCCTAATCACCCAATCTCGCCCTGAGTGACCTGTTCTTTTCTGTTACCCCATATGAAAAAGTCCTAAAAGGGAAACACTTGAGGTGAAACAAACAAAAAAAAAATGGAAGAAGCACTAAAAAGCATTAAAATCAATGAGTTCAAAAACTGTTTTGAGCAGTGGAAAAAATGTCTTGATAGGTGTATTTCATCAAATGGAGAGTACTCTGAAGATGACTGAAGTTTAAACATGTAAGGATAAACAAACAGTTTTTAAAATAAATTATAGGTTTTTTGGGTCCCCCCTCATATATATTTATATAAATATATATTTTAAAATTAGAATATCTTGGTTTTTCTAGGTAGACAATCCCTACACCAAGTGGCTCTCCTTTTAAAATATTTACACTGATTATTCAAGTCCTTGTCATCTTGCTTTGCTGTGACCACCAAGAATGATGCCCTCAGTGAGGGTGGCCAGCTGTGCACCTATTCTTTCTTTTAAGGGAAATGACTAGGATTTCACCATTTAATGTGGCATTTATTGTGGTTTTATGGTTATCCTGACTGTATTTACATACTATTCTATATACTTTTATAAATTTTTATTATTAGAAACAACCATTGCCGACCCTGACCAGGTAGCTCAGTTGGTTAGAGCATTGTCCTGATACGCCAAGGTTGTGGGTTTGGTCCCTGGTCAAGGAACATACAGGAACCAACCAATGAATACATAAATAAGTGGGAAAGCCAATGTTTTTCTTTCCCTCTTCCTCTCTCTCTAAAATCAATAAATAAAAAGCTTAAAAAATAGTCATTGCATTTGATAAAATACCTTTGGACACTTAAAAAAAAAAACCAATAAGCTGTCTTTTAATTTCTAGATATAGTAAATTACCTTGGAGATTTAGAGATATGGACCATTCTTACAGCCTTGCAATAAATCCTACTTGGCTATGATGTTCTGTTGATAACTGATCATGTTTCTTTAAAATAATTGCATCTTATCTATGAGCTTTCATTTTCACAACCGACACAAACCCATGTGACTGTCCCTAAAGCCTCCTTATGCGCCCTCCCAGCCACTCATATCCTGCTTTCTTTTTTTTTTTTTTTAATGTATTTATTTTTTAGAGAGCGGGGAAGGGAGGGAGAAAGAGAGGGAGAGAAACATCAATTGCACCCCCTACTGGGGACTGGGTGCGTGCACCGCAGGCATGTGCCCCGACTGGGAATCGAAGAGGCGATTCTTTGATTCACAGGCGCGCACTCAATCCACTGAACCTCACCAGCCGGGGCCCGAGCCACATCAGCCAGGGCCTGTCTTCTAATAGCAGAACTTAACTTTTCTGTTCCCTTTTTAATTTCGTATACTTGGGATAATCAATTTGTTCTTTTTTTCTTTCACTCAAAATAATATATGTGAGATACATGTATATTGCCAAGCTCATTCTCCTTGCTGTGTTGAATAGTATACATTGATTTACAAATACATTAATATGAATCTCTTGATACTTCTATTGATATTTTGTTAATATGCAGTTGATGTAGTCATTTGCTGTTGATGGGCATTTGTATGGTTTCTTGTTTGGGGTGTGTATAAACACTGAGGCCTCTTGAGTATATTTGTCAGCGTGGATTGAGTTGCCTTCAAGAAACCGATAATTTCCCCAAGTGGTCCACATTTTTAATTTTAGCCATTCTTGTGGGTCTGAACACCATTTCTGACAGTTGGATAGAGTACCCCTACACAAGTGTTCTATTGATGAATTTAAGAACCTCCTGTTAATAAACATTTGGGTTGTTTTCAGGTTAAAAAAATTTTTTTAAATCCACACCCAAGGATTTGTTTATTGGGTTTTTTTAGAGAGAGAGGAAGAGAGAGAGAAACATCCATGTGAGAAACACCAATTGGCTGCCTCCCACACGCACCCCAACAGGGGACTGAACCCATAACCTAGGTACGTGCCCTGACCCGGGATTGAACCCACAACCTTTTGGTGTACGGGACAATGCTCCAACCAAAAGAGCCACCCAGCCTGGGCTGTTTTCAGTATTTACTCTTCTAAACAGTACAGTGATGAAATCCTGGAACACCCTTTTTTATGCACTTGCAACCTACCCCCTGGCAATCACCTTTTTGGTTCTCTCCAATTGTCTTGTTTTTATGCACAAAATAACACTGGAATAAGATTTCGTGTATATTCATCTTTGTGGGCTTAAAAGTTTTTTGTCTTCTTGAGATTTTAGGGTTTTTTTTTTTTTTATTTTAACACCTTTTTTCATGTTGGTCTTGAGGACAGAGCCAGCCCAGTGAGTGTTGTTGCATGTTGCATGGGATAAAGGGCTGAACGCTGCTTACTCTTACGAGCTGGCTTCTGAGATTGCACCTTTTCTTCCTGCTCCTCCTCCAACTCTCTATGACCCCTCAAGGTATGACGATGGCTGGGCAAGGGTCCCCAGCCAGAAGGAGGGGACTTCACCCAATCATAGGCTCCAGATTATGCATCACAGTTGCTTGACAGCATCCCAAATCTCTGCACTAAGGTACTTCTGAAAACCACAGTCATCTCCTCATTCTTCCTTCTACTCATCCTTCCACCTGCCATTGATTTATCAGTAATCCACCGTCCGTTCATCAGTCCACCAATGGTCTCTTCACCAATTTCTTCAGCTCTCTCCATTCACATACCCATTTATCTACTCAGGTTTCATCTGTCCATTCACCTATCCATGCATCTATTCATTCATTTATTCCTTGCTCCCTCTACCCATCCATCCAATCATTCATTCGATTGTTCATTCATTCATCCATCCATCCACTTATCCATCCACCCACCTCTCCATCCATCCACCAATCTACTCCTCCATCCATTCATCTACTCATCTATCCATCCATTCATGTATTGACCCATCCATTGATCCATTTACTCATTCCTCCAATTACCTGCCCACTCATCCATCCATCCACCCATTCATCCATCCATTTATTCATTTATTTATGATCTGTTCATAAATTCATCAGTTTCATTTTCTTATCCATTCTTTTACCCAACCCTTCATCCATCCCTCCAACTGATCTACCATTCATTCATCCACTGATCTACTTTATCAATATTTAGTCATGCATCCATCTATCCATCCAACTTTCAACCCACTCACCCATTCATTTATTAGTCAAGTTAGCCACTCACCCAATACCCTCCCTCCCACTCACACCCGGAAGCCAGACCCTATGACTGAGATGAGGTAAAAGAAGTGACTCAGACCTGTTTCTTGCCCTCTAGGGATTCATAGTCAATTATGAGTGGCAAATAACAATCACACACACACATAAACAGTAAATTCCCAAAACAGTGTGACTAGTTCTGTACTCACAATATGTTCCAGATACAGGTGGCCAGGAGGCCAGGACAGAGAGGGCAATGAATAGGAGAAAGATTGCAAGGTGCCAGGAACGAGATCTAGGTCCTAGGACAAGTACTTGCTCCAGCCAGTACCCCATTGTCTTCACGATTCCACTCTCTGACCACCTTCCTGGCGCCCCCCACAGGCAGAGTTGATCCGCCTAGGAACCAAGACAATGCGGCAAGCAACACAGTCACAAGTGTCACCCGGTGGACAGAGCTCCTTCCAGCCCCACCCCACCCCCAATTTTCAAAACAATGTGGGGACACTGTGTCCACAGCCCCAGCGTGAGCCGCCTGCATCCAGGGAGACCCTCCTGCAACAGCCAGACAAGAATAAGACGGCGCCTCGCCGCATTCCACGCCTCCGGGCCGTGGTCGAGAGCCAGGCCTTCAAGAACGTCCTGGTGGACGAGATGGACCTGATGATGTCTCGAGCAGCCACCCTTATCCAAGCCAACTGGAGGGGCTACCGGCTCCGGCAGAAGCTGACCTCCCAGATGCTGGCAGCTAAAGCCATCCAGGAGGCCTGGCGACGCTTGTATACCAGGCGCCTCCTCCGGTCTGGCAAGGAAGTGGAGAAAAAAGTGAGCATGGATGAAGGGGACATCCCTTACCACCCCCCCCAGCAAGTGCGGTTCCGGCATTCAGAAGAAGGCAAGTATCTTCCGGCCCCACCTGTCATGGTGAGTAAGGAGACCCAGATCCCTTCTGCTGGCCTCTCAGCTACCTGTACCCACCAGCTGCCTGTACAGCCGCCAGGCATCCCACAGCCCAGCGTGCGGGCTCCTTGTGCCACTGGAGGCCCAAGCGTCACTTTCCCACCACAACAGATGGTCTCCATCAGACTTCCATGCCCAGTGAGTCCAGACATAAAATGCCACCAGTGCCTGCTAACAAGAACTGTCAGAAGTGCCAGTCTTGTCCGTGAAGAAGGTGACATAATGAAGACCACACAAGTGACTGCCAGAGCCAACAAGGGAGGAGCCCTAGGGCCACCACCTTGTGGAAGATGTGCCCAGGAACTTCACGGACCCCTCAAGACCCAGAACCATGATCGTGTGGAAGCAGAGGTCCTCAAAGCCCCAGCCCAGACAGGCCAAGCCTCTGTGATGACCAAAACCCCACCCCAGCAGTGCCCAGTATCCACCATAACGATGACTAAGACCCCACCCCAGATGTACCCGGCAGCTGCAATGACCAAGACCCCACTCCAGTTGTGCTTGGCATCCATGATGAACAAAACCCTACCCCAGCCTTGCCCAGCACCCACAGTAACAATAGCCAAGACCCCACCCCAGGTGGACCCGACAGCCCCCGTGGCCAAGACCCCACTCCAGTCATGCCTGGCAGCCATCTTGAACAAGAACCCAACCCAGCCATGCCCAGCATCCTCAATAATGATGACGAAGACCCCACCCCAGCAGTACTTGGCGGCTCCAGCGACCAAGACTCCAGCTCAGATGCAACAAGCAGCCTCAATGACCAACACTGCACCCCAGGCACAACCAGCTGCCATCATGGCCAAAATCTCACCCCAGATATGCTTGTTGACCTCAGTTATCAAGCCTCCAACCCAGACATGCCCGGAGCCCGTGATGGCCAAGACCCAGCCCCAGACGTGCCAGGTGCCCGTGATGGCCAAGACCCCGCCCCAGACGTGCCAGGTGCCTGTGATGGCCAAGACCCCACCCCAAACGTGCCAGGTGCCTGTGATGGCCAAGACCCCACCACAGATGCGCCCAGCAGCCACAATGGCCAAAACTCCACTGCAGACATGTTCAGTGGCTTCTGAAACCCCATCTCAGACACTCCCAGGGGCCTCGATGACCAAGATCCCTCCCCAGACGCGTCTGGCAGCCATGATCACCAAGACCCCAGCCCAGTTACGCTCGGTGGCCACCATTCTCAAGACCCTGTGCCTGCCCCCTTCTGCAGCTGGAAATCTGAAGGCTTCACCTCCAGCAGTTGTGGCAGCCGGGATTCCCAATACCTCATCGCACATATGTCTGAATAGACCAAAGGCCAAGGCCGTGGTAACTGTGAGGCAGACGACAGATATGGTCAAAGCCTCGTCCCATTCACAATTGACTGAGGGAAAGGTGAAATACTGTCCCCCGCCACACCTGGGGGCTGGGGCTCCCAAGGCTCTGGCTAGGCCTTTTTTGGAAGCTGAGAAAATCAAGGCCTTCTCTCAAAAACAAGTGAAAACAGCAACCACATCTAACATCCGTGTGACAGAGGATAGGAGCAAGATCTTATCGCAGGCACACCTGAAGAAAGATTCTATCAAAGTTCAGTCCAAGGTATATGTGCCTGCAGAAATGAATGTGGGTCTGCCCCAGGCACAGACGGCCACCTGTTCAACCACAGCCTCGCCCCGTGGACATCTGCTTGCCAAGCTGTCTGCAGCCCTACCCCAGGCAAGTCTGGGTGCGCGTCTGTCCAAGCCCCCGCCCCAGGCACATCTACCTGCCAAGCTAACCAAGGCCGCGACCCTGGCCCATCAGAGCACACATCTAGCCAAGACACAGTCCCAGGCACATCTGGCCACAGGAGTGATAAAGGTCCAGTCTCAGGCAGATCTGCCTACTGGGCTGACCAAGGCCCAGTCCCGAGTCCGGCTGGTCACAGAAACAGCAAAGTGCCTCTACACTGCCCACCAGGCCGCTGAGCTGAGCAGCAAGACCCAGCCCCCGCCACTCCTGGCTGGGTTCAAGGCCTCTACCCAGCCCTGCCAACATGCTGGCTCTCTTGGCACTTTGTCCCGAGCCAAGCCAGAGAACAGACCGACCCAGCTCGCAGGGCACAGCTATGCCCAGGGTAAAGCCACCCAGAGCCTGCACCAGGAGGCCTCCGAGGCCCAGAGCATGCTGGTGCCTCTGCTGCCATCCGCTGGACACCTCACATGCAATGTTGAATCCTGCGGTGACAGGGGAGCCTCCCGGGTCCAGCCATCATCCGCCAGCGCAGCTGTGCCCTGTCAGGAGGAGCTGGTGGCCTCTCAGCTTGCCTCACTGTGTGCTGAGCTGGCTGCTGTGCTGGGCTCTCAGGAAGACCTCCGTGATCTGCTGGCGAAAGCTCTCTCCCAGGGGGAAGTGAGGGCGGCAGTGAACCAGGCCCTGTCCAAGGAGGTTCTGGGCACCCTGATGGCCAAGGTCCTGCCCCAGGGCATGCTGGGCACAGCACTGGTGAAGGCGTTGTCCTGGGGTGAGCTGGGCACTACGCTGTCCTGGGCCCTTTCCCGGGGTGAGCTGCGGGCAGAACTCACTAAGGCCATGCAGGGCAAACTGGTGGATGTGCTGAGCAAGGCCCTGACGGAAGAGGAGTGGGCCATCCTGAACCAGGCCCTGTGTCAGGGTGAGCTGGGCGCCATCCTGAACCAGTCCTTGTCTCAGGCGGCCCTGAGGGCTGGACTCATCCTTCCTAAGGCTGCCTCGAAAACATTGGGAAGTGGGATGATGGTGACACCGGCCCCCGTGGAGGTGACCTACAGGGGGAGCCCGTCAGCTGCGTGGGGGCCCACCCTGGGCTGTGTGAGACCACAGCCCAGCAAGGTTAGGGTTCCCCTGGGTGGGGCCTGGGAGGGCTTCGTCACAGGCTGGCCAACTGGGCTGTTGGAGGAAGTGGGGGATGGGCCCATGGTCGGGGGCGTCACCCTGCTTGTCCATGGTCTTGGTCAGTTCTTGGACACCTCCTTGGTCAGTAGGGCGATCACCACCATTTTTCAGTTTCCCCTGATCGCTGGTTTGGGCCCCACTCTGTCATGGGATATGGGGTCCCCCAGGGACCCAAGAGCACCCAGAAGCTGGCGAATTGGCATCACATCTCAAGCCCAGGGCGAGTGACACAGGCCGCAGTTTGCCCGGGCCGCTCCCCCTGCAGCCACTCCCGCCATCTGTGGGAGCTGCTTATTGCCAATGGCATGGCCCCAAGCCATGGCTGGTCATGGGTGGCTGGTGACATGGCCCCAAGCTCCCACAAGCCCCATATGGCCAGCAGGGCGGCCCCACATCTGTTGGCATGATTGGGAGAGGGTGGGGTGGCCCCAGAGAAGCTTGCCAGCTCTGCAGGTGGTAGGAGGGCTGTCCATTCCCACCAGTGTGCCTCTGAAGACCCTATGGATGGTGTCCTTGTTGGCGTCAACCCTCTGGAGTCACCCGGGAGACGCCCACGGTGTACTGGCCATCGGTAGCCAAAAGTCTGCAACAGCCATTCATGGTCCCTGAGGAGACCACGCAGAGGACTCAGTCCCCAAAGCATAAGCAGGTCTCTGTGGGCAGTAGTGAGATGATCAACAAGGTGACCTCGGGTCTGCCGAGGGCCACCACAGTGGGCAAAGTGCCCCTGACCCAACCACAGGCCCTTAGGGCCTGTGACAGAACCCCAGGCCCTCTGCCCGGCTCCATGGCTCCTGGTCATCGCTGGGCATTCAAGAGTCAGGGAGAACCCAGTCTGTCAAAAGCCTCCCCAGGAAGCCAGCTGATGCCCACCCCACGCCACGCAGCCAGCCCTGGGTAGGAGAAGAATCGAACACAGTGTATCATTTCTGGCATGCCCACAGGAGCTGGTGGATGGCCATCTACTCAGCGACCTGGCAGGCCATTTGCCACAGGGTTCAGATAGTGACCCAGCCAGAAGCTTCTCCCAGGGCTCCCCAGATTATGGCCTAAATGTGAGCAATTCCCAGAGCTCACTGTGCTGCTGTAGCTCACTCAGCCTTTCCACCATGTCTGTGGCCAGCCTGACCGCTGTTGACCTGGTGGAGGAGTTGTCCAGAGAGGCCAGCCCGGATGGGGACTTCCTCTCTGGGGAGGCCATGGGGAGGTCCCAGAGGCCTGGGGACCTGGAAGAGATGGAAGGAGTAGGTCATGGGCACATGACCCCAAGCCTCCACCACCTGCCCTCCCCAGCCTTAGAGCTGATCCCCATTCTGCAAACCAGCTCAGTGTCCAGTCACTTGACCTTCAATGTCCACCAGGGCTCAGGCGGTTGGGATGAGAGGGACTTGTCCTCAAGCCAAAACTTTATGGGTCCGAAAGATAGCTTGTGCCAGAAACCCTATAGGACAGGATTGAAGAGAAGTCTGCCTTTAGGTAATGTGGCCTCTCCCTTGTATCAGCAGCCAGTTTTGACCAAGAAGTTGATCCCAAACCTATCTCAGCCACCAGTAAGGTGGCCTCACGCAGGCCAGCTTTCTATGGCCAATAAGGATCCCCCCAGCCTAACCGAGCCTTCTATGGCTGGTAAGGTAACCCTCAGCATAGGCCAGCTATCTAAGGCCTGTGGGGTAAGCCCCAGCCTAGGTCAGCCACCTGTGACCAGTGGGGTGACCCCTAGCCTAGCCTATGCAAATATGGGCAGTAGTATGGTCCCCAGCCGAGGTCGGCCATCTGTGATGAGCGGTATGGGTCATGCACTTAGGCAGCCAATTTAGGCTCCCGAGGTGAATTCAGATCCACTGTCATCAAGGGTGAACGCAGTGGCCCCTTGTCCATGGGATTCATCCTTTCTGACTGAAGTCACCTCGAATGCACACGTCCATCCAGGGACAGCAGCATGGACCAGTGGCTGAGCCCGCTGTCGCTGGCCACTGGGGTAGATCCATGTCAAGATCATCTGATGGGTCATGGGGTGACCTCAAACGTCCAGGCTCCTGAGCCCAGTGAATTGTCCCCTGGGTTTCATCAGCCACTTAGTGTTGGTGGGAGGTGCCCAAGCACAACAGAACGTTCTGCTGTCACTGTTTCATCCCCAAACCTCTCCACTGTGGCCAGTGGAAAGGACTCTCCTCTAGGCCAGGAGACCAGAACGTCTCCGGGCATTCTGTTCAGGGGCCTGGCCACAGGCATGTCTCAGGGCACCATGGCTGCTGGCAGGCGCCCGAATGTATCTTGGGAGACCCTGGTTGATGGCAATTTCCCAAGTGTGTCTCAGGCCCCTGTGTCTCCTGCCATTACAAAGAGTACGTGCCAGAGAAGAGTGGCAACTTCTATGGGCCCACAGCAACCTCAGGAGGGCCGCGGTGTGGCTCCTATGGGCGTCCTGGGCCTCTGGGGCAGGTACCCCTTTGGTTCATGAACAAGCCTCAGGGGTGGGCCCTGGCTTCTCTCAGGCTGTAGTGCCCAACAGACTGGGTCTGAGTCCATCCAGATTTTCCTTGGCCCACGTGAGCCCCAGCATATCTCAGGTCGGTGTTGATCTCCCAGTCTCTATGGACCGCCATTGTCCTCCTGTGTTCGCAGTCACCGCATCCAGTTACCAACAAGCAAATGTTTTCAGCCAGGAGCCTGTGATTGGCATGGCCAGTCTTCTGGTGCCAGGTGCTGTAGCCAATAGGACAGCCACAGCTGCGGCCTCAGGTACTGTGGCCAGTGGCATGGCCCCCAGCCCTCCCACAGGGCCTGTGATCAGGGGTGTGGGCCAGAGCCCTTCCTGGGGTCAGGTGTGTGCCCCCTGAGTTTCTAATAGGTTATATGGTCAGACTCTGTGGCCAGTGGCATGGGCCAGGGTCCTCTGGGCTCTGTGGCCAGTGGCATGGCCAGGACACTACCTCTAGGTTCTGTGGTGAGTGGTGTGCCCCCAAGACCAATTACAGCACCTGGTGCTGATGGGAAGAGGCAATGTCTGTTTGTAAAATCCTCCGCTAGTCTAACCTCTCCAAGCCTGCTCTTAGGTTCAGTGGCAAATGGGGTGGGCCCCCATGTCTCTTCTGGTTCTTTGGTCTCTAGTGTGGCCCCAGGATGTATGACTGGGGAACTGAGTCAGGGCCTAGTTCTGAGGTCCACGGCTAGTGTAGCTTGTCCCCCCCTCACGGCTGGAGACATGGCTTCCAGCCTTCCTCAGGGGCCCACGCTCACTGGACCCACCCCCTGCCCTTACCGCAGGGCCCTGGCTGAGGAGGGGTCTACAGTCCCCTTTCAGGCAGCCTATGCCACTAGCATGGCTCAAGCTCATCCCCAGGCCTTAGGCGCTCGATGCAGAGCCAGAGGAGTGCACCAAGTACCCTTGGTTCTGCAAAGAGCCTCACAGTTGAGCCACCTCCTTGGGACAATGGCCTTTGAGACCAGACATGGCCAGGCCATGGAGAAACTGGAAGACCTGAACGAGGTTCTATCCCAGGGGTCCGGATCCAGTAGGGAATCCAGGGTCCTTGGGGCAACCCCGTGGATGTCTGAGAGTCCCCAGGCGCCTGATGTCAACTATGGCCATGAATTCCTGGCAGACAACAAGACTGTCCCTAAAGGCCAAAGGCTGCCATTGGAGGAGGTGGCTCCCAGCCGAGCCAGTCCTATGATGAGTGTCATGGACCCTGTCCCTCCGCAGCCCCCAAGTTTCGCCAAGCACACCAAGGCTGGCAGCGTCACCCCAACTCTGCAGCAGGGGTCAGCAACCAGTTGGGGGGCACCCAGCTCCCACTTTGTGACTTCTCGTGGGGTCCCCCATGTGCAGATGGACACTGGAGCCCCCTTGCTTCACCCGGAGTCAGTGGCTCACATTGTGCCCCGGAGCCCCTTGGCCACACTGCTGGTCCTCAGGAGCCTGTTGGCCACTACCGCAGTCCCTGGCAGCCCCTCAACTGCGTGTTCCCCCCTGAACCCCTTGGTTTCTCACATGCCCTGAGCCATTCCCGTGGCATGGCAGCTTCTGCAGTGATATCAGGGTCACCCCCGCTGGTCCATAGGAGTTCTGAGGCATCCGGTTTGCGCCTGGGGTCTGTGCCTGGGAGGGGGCCCAAAGCACTTCCTAGAGGTTGGGGGCCACCAGTGTGGCTTCACATATGCTGCCGTGGCCACTGGAGGCCAGTGGGGTGCCAGCCGGTGGGCTCCAGGCGGAAGCTGTCCCCGGTGCATTTCAGGAGCCAGCGTCTGGGAACCTGGTTCAGGGAAGCCACCACGACCTCCTTGGCCCCGGAACGTCCTCCAGGTCCATGAATGGTGGCCTTGTCTCTGGAGTGCTAGACGGTTCTGTGGCCAAGACTGAGCCCTCCCGGCAGGTTGGGGAGCATCCTCCAGGCCCACCCAGGGAGGTCCCGAAATGTCCATGGGCGCAATGCCAGGCACAACGCCAATTGTCTACACTGGTGATCTGGCGCACAGCGGGGCCACCCCTAGGTTGCACCACAGGGTTCAAAGGGTATCTCTGGGTGATGAGTCTTCACCAAGTGGTTCCCAGCAACTCCTTGGTAACCAAGGTTCACTACAGGGCCCTTAGGATTTCCATAGCGTTGTCGCTCCTGTGGACAGTCACAGGGCACCCCTGACTCCCACTGTACTACAGGGCCCCGTGGATGCCGGCGTGGCTGGTGGCCAAGCATTGAACTCCGCTGTCCCCAGTGTTGCGGTCAGGCCCATGAACAGTGCCGAGGCCCCCTGCGGCGCACTGGAACCAGCCAGGTGCCCTGTGCCCTGGGATGCTGTGGTCAGCAAGGCAGCGACGGATCCCGGACAGCTGCGTGAGCTAGTGGCATCAGTGCAGACTGTGGAGAAGATAATAGTGCAAGCTGTGACCACTATACAGGCGTGCGCACGGGGCTACCTGGTGCGCCGTACCATCAGGGTATGGCGCCAGTGGGCCGTCGTCATCCAGGCTGCCTGGCGGGGCCACTGCGTGCGGCGGAACCTGGCCCAGCTCTGCAGAGCTGCCACGATCATCCAGGCCACGTGGCGAGGCTACTGCACCCGACAGAGACGAGCCCGGCAAATGCTGTTCCCTGGCACGTGGGTTGAAGTGAGTGGCAAGGTCAGGCTGACCTCCAACCACCGCTGCTTCCAGTCCTGCCAGCCAAAGGTGTGCACCCTCTGCCAGTCACTGTGTCCCCGGCTGGGGAGCCCACCCAGTGCAGTGATGCTTGTGGGTTCCAGCCCCCGCACATGCCACATGTGCGGCCACACCCTGCCCACGCGGGTGGTACAGGGCATGGGCCAGGGCACTACAGGCCAGGCGGGCATGCCGAGGGGCTATGACACCCAGCTGACTCCCCAGAGACCCCGGCAGAAGCTCCAGTGCCAGAATAAGGCCGCCGTAGTCATCCAGTCGGCCTGGAGGGGCTTCGTTGTGCGTCGCCGGCTGAGGCAGCAGCAGGCAGCAGCCAAGATGCTCCAAGCCACCTGGCGCGGCCACTATACCCGAGCTTCCCTCACCACGGATGCGCTCTTGAGAACAGCGGTGTGGGACCACCCACAGAACATGCGGTGGCCAGGAGTCTAGGACCTTGGCTGCCTGGTTGGGTGACAACAAGGAGGTGCCCTGTGGCTCTCTTGATCTAATGAATAAAGGCCTCCGCAGCCTGGGTCTCAACCTGCCTGTGGTCACAGCGGTATCTTGGGCATGGGTGGAATGTGTGGAATCTAGAACACCGTGGACTGGGAGGGGACCCTAAACTTCCAACCACACAGCTGGCACCCACGGTCTCTGTCTGAAATAGGGATCCAGCCCTTCCCAGATGTCAGGGATTTCCAGTGTGGCCGCTGAATCTGTCCGTGACTAGTGGGGTGGTGTCCAGCTGGATCTAGACAGGGGTCCCTAAGGTACTCTGGAAGACAGTGTCTGGGGACCTGGCTCAGAATGGTCACCACAAGCCCCTTGGCCCTAGAAAACCCTATGGGTGAATGAATGCACGGTGCCTTTTTTTAAAGGAAATACTGAGGGTTCCAGCCAGGTATGAATTTGGTGGGATGCTGGGCTTATCGCCAAGGGGACCCGGTCTGGGTGAGAGAGAACTGGACACAGATGTTCCTGGCCCATGGGTCAGGGACGGGGCAGGGAAGGGGACAGGGGCCTGTCAGCACCCAGAGGGCAGCCCGGTAGGAGGCAAGGCAGAGAGGGTGACGGCGGCGGCGTGGGTTTAGGGCAGCTGGGGAGGGGGCCACAGAGCGGCAGGGGCTGCTTGGGGGAGGGGAACTGGAAGGAGCGGGCGTGTCCTGAACGGATGGGCAGAATTTGAGGGCTTCAGGGTCATGGTTCAGGTAGGATTTTTAGTTGAGGCGGGGGTCCAAGTGGAGAGGGGGGCAGCTATGGCACTGCTGGGAACCCGCGCAGCCCCGCATAGGCCGTGCGTCCTGAGGCCCCGCCCCGCCTCCGCCTCCGCCTCTCCCCTGAGTAGGTGTAAAAAGTAGCCGGCTGGCCACCACCTGGCCACATATGGCACCTGTGCAGAGCCCGCCCTTTGCCCTCCCCAAACTGGTATGTTGGGCTCCCAGGTGCTACTGCCGCATCTGCTGCTGGCTCTGGTGCTACTGCGGCAACCTGACATAAATTTCTCTGCTTTTGCTGACACCCCTACAGGTAAGAACAGGTAAGGAGGAAACTGGGCTTCTAGGAAGCCGGAGGGAGGCATATTGCCCAGCCACACACTTGGCGTTTGGGCTCCTTCCTCAGGCCGCGCTGGTCTGCCAGCCACCCAGCCCAGAGGGGCTGCTCCTCCCAGAAGCACGGCGGGGGTCTCCTGAGAACGGCTGAGGCACCCCCACCCTCCCAGCAGGCTCCAACCCTGAGGCTGCCACTTCGGCCACTCCAGGCTGACCTGAGCCAGTAAGAGGCTGTGTCTGCCTCACACCCAGTTTGAAGTTCCATTTAAAACCCGTTTCTGTTAGCCAGACCCCAGGACCATGGGAAGAGGGGACAAGCGTTCACTTCCTGGTCTCTAAGCACCTATGGCCCCCAGAAGAGGTTCTTGGCGCCTAATTTTCTTCTGCTGCCCCATAAGGGGGTTCCCAGGGTGAAGAATTGAACTTTTTTCTAAAATTTATTTTAAATTATAGTTGCCATACAACCTTATAGTAGTTTCAGGTATACAATATAGTGATTCAACAAGAGTTGAACTCTTGCCCTGGTCGGCGTGGCTCAGTTGGTAGCGTTCTGCAAAGTGAAAGGTCGCTGGTTAGATTCCCAGTCAGGGCACATGCCTGGGTTGCAGTCCTGGTCTCGATGTATCTCTGTATCTCTCCCACACTGAGGTTTCTCTCCCTCCCTGCCCCTCTCTCTAAAAGTGAATAAATAAAATCTTCAAAAAAGAGAAAGATCCACTCAGGGCGGAATGGGCAGGGTCAGGTAGGGAGTGATCGGTGAATGAACTTGCAAGCAGCTAAGGGCCCAGCAGCCTGGAACTAGGAAGGAAGTAATTGTGGGTGGTGGCCCATGAAATATTTACCCACTCTCAGCCTGGCTCTTGGGCTCCGTGCCTGGGAGGGACTTCAGACAAAGAGCTTCAAATAATGGTGCCTCATCTCCCGCTGTACTAAATCCTCCAGGTCCCCTTAGGGAAAAAAGGCATCCAGAGAGGGGACTGGGCCTGGGGCCACTCACCCTTGTTCCTAATAATCCTCTCCCTGGACCTTCTGGTGTTTCCTTTCGAGATGTTAGGAGGGAGACTGACACGTCAACTTCCAGACCTTGGAGTGCTCTTCCCCCTAGCCACGGCTCTCCTAGCTCTGTGGAAACCTCTACCAACCATGCCGGCCCCTCCCCCCCCCGCCCCCCCCCCCCGCCCCAGGCAGGCCGCGCCATCCACTCCAGCACCCCTAGTTCAGGGCCAGGCCGCGACCCCCCAGAGCCCCGTAAATTCAGAGGCAGCCCCACCATCAAGCCCAGCTCCAGCTCTGCAGTTTAAGGCGAGTGCCCACCTCCCCACAACCAGAGACAATCCCCTCCTCGAGTCTGGTTGTCCAGCTCAGAGCTCACCACCCCCCACCCCTCCCACTCCAGCCGCCTGAGCTCGGCCTCCTTGAACCTGCCCCGGGGGCCCGCGCCCCCAGCCCCAAAAAGGAGCCCTCCTCCCTTCCCTTGGCCACACCTGACCGTACCCCTGTGGCCTCCGGCCCCGGGCAGTTTGATTTGTGGGGGCGCGGAGCGTGGCTGGTGTGACCAGGCTGCAGTTCTGGAATAGGCCTCCAGGGAGAGACACAGACCTGAGAATGTGCAGGGAAGGGCTGCGCCCCTCCCCTCCACCCCCAGCATCGCCCGAAGCTCTTTAGACCTTCACTTCATGCGCGCTTATTAAGTGCCTAGTGTGTCTCATACTGTGGGGCACAGCTATGTTGGAAGACAGGTTATAAGTAAATTCCATCTTTGTTTATAAAAGAATTAAACAGAATAAGAGGTCAGAATATGAGTGCAAATGGTTTGAAATTTTAAAAAAGTGGTCAGCAAAGGTCTCACTTTGAAGGAGATGGGGGAGGAGCCACGAAGTTATCTAGGGGGAGAGTAGTCCGGGAAGAGGTGGGGCCTGTGCAAAGGTCCTGAGGTAGGACCATGTCTGGTGCATTTGAGGAAGAGTGAGGTGTCCAGGAGTAGCTGGGTAGGGTGCTGGTGGGAAGGAAATGAGGGTGGAAAGATTATAGGGTATGACCCCCGCCCCGGGCCCCAGAGGTTCAATAGAGGCCAATCATTTTTAGAGGCATCTGGAAAAATCTGTTACTCAAACTAACATGTTGTCTCCAAAATGTTCAAAGGAGAGTACAAATGTAAAGTGTGATGATCTTTTGCTTAAAGTCCCAGGATATTACACCATCTTCACAAAGTACCTCATTTCAGCCCTGGCCAGGTACTGGGAATGTCCTGAGCCAAGGTTTTGGGTTCCATCCCCAGTCCGGCACATAGAAGAATCCACCAATGAATGCAAAGTAAGTGGAACAACAAATCAATCTCTCTCTCTCTTTCTCTCTTTCCCTTCCTCTCTCTCTAAAAATCAATCAATAAAATTTTTTTAAAACCCCGAAATGTCTAATTTCACATGCATCTCCAGAAGGCCAGTGTGTTTATAAAGAGTTCTAGATTTTTCTAACTTTGCAAGAACCCCTGAGAGTAGCCAATGAGAGCTGTGAAAACACAGCAAACTAAATGAAATCCTTGTAGACAAATATATTCAAAAGCAAAAGGATAAAAATACACTTTACAAAGGCCGGAGCCGCAGCCAGAGAGGGAAGCGAGCATGGCTTCATGGAAAGGGACTGAAAAAGTTGCAGGCCCTTGTGTGTGCCTCTGCCTTGGCGGGGGGTGAGGGCCTCCCTCAGCTCCAGGTGACACTGAAACCGGGGCTGGCAGTGGCTGTGTGTCTTCTGGCATCCGTTTCACTCAGGGAGAGAACCCTGCCTTGGTCTGCGATCATGGTTGTGAGGTGCTGCCGCCAGGGTAAGCCTGAGTTCCAGAAGCCAGATGAGATGTCCATGGTGAGGTGGGGGCTGGGCTGGGGGCCGCCCTCCCAAGCAGAGCAAGCCCTTGGTGCCTGAATGTTCCTTGGGTGTTCTTTTCCCAGGGGAGCATGAGCCAAATGTCTTCCTTTGCCCATCGCCCACCAGAGCGACCCCAGAGGGGCATAGATCCTGGGGAGGGGGGCTTGGAAGGAGCCAGAGCCCCCAGGGAGGGGCAAGGTTTGCAGGAATAAAGACCCTTCTACCCCTCAGGAGTCATGGATTCCTGTGACACACATGTCTGGGTGCCTACCACTTGCTGGGGCCACAGTGGGGACCATTTCTCCATCCTCATGGGGCCCACAGGCAACAGCCAGGGGGTCAGATGGTCTTTCAGATGGTTCTGAAGACAAGTCACACACTGGGGCTGTGGCCAGACCCCCCTGGCCTGGGTGTCCTGGCTTGCTGCCCAGGCAGGGAGGTTTCTCTGTGGAGGCGATAACTGAGCTGAGACCTCAGAGGCAGGAAGGAGCCTCCCTGGGGAAGGTCAGGAGGGGGTCCCAGGAAGCAGGTCCAGCAAGTAAATAGGCACCGGGGCAGGAGGAACTTGAGGTAGTTGGGAAACAGTCAGGAGGTGTGTGGGTTCTAACCTGAGCGCCACGGGGCAGTTTTCAGCCAGCAAGTGCTGGATCCTGTTGGTCCTCCTTCAGGACTTTAAGGGGGAGCAGGAGGGGGAGAAGGGTTTCCAGGTGGCAGGGACAGCCCTAAGTAAAGGCTTGGAGGCTGGAAAGCCCCAGAAGCATGTGGAAAATGGAGCCAAAATACCCCTCCTGTCGCGGGGGGTGACGCATTGCGAGAAGCGTGGGGCGCGGGTTCTCCTGGATCTGAGGGCTGCTGTCCGGAGCCAGCTGAGGAGGGAGCGGGGCTCTGAATCCCGAGCCCGTCCCGGGGGTGTCATGGATGGGGGAATAAACACGAGTCATCGCAAACACTTCTGTTTGCCAGGAGAGGGAACATGGCGACTTCCCTCTAGTGGAGAAGGCCCCAAACCCCCATGTCCAAAGGCTTTTATTGAGAACCATATGCACAGGCGTATGGAAGCAAAGCTCATCAATCAATGTCAAAAGGCTATGTTTACAGAAAACAGACAGAGATCAAGGATAACAATTGAAGGAACACAAGAGATCTGCCTCAGGTCAGGGTCTATGAATAATGTAGGAGCCGCATCTCCCTTTTGAGGGAAGAACAAGCAGGCTTAGAGGAACTTACTTCCAGGCCTGACTGTCTCCAGAACCGCCTGATCCAGTTTAGGGTTGTACCTGCCTTTAGTATTGTTTCAAGCCTGAGCCAGGTGGGCAGGGCAGAGACACCAAGAGACAAGGAGACTTCTTTCAAATGGAATGAAGACTCCGGCCGTGTCCAAGCCGAGCTGAGGGGTATGGGCCTTTTTGCCCTTTCTCCGTGTCCCCCAAAGTCCTTGTCCTGCTGCCCATACCAACCGATGTCTAGCTTAGATCGTCTCTCCTCTTGAGAGACCTTACCAGCCATTGACCGCCAACCATCACAGGGCCAAGCAGGGGGATGAGAGAGGGGCAGGGGCTGCGCCCCTGCCAGGGGGACAGGTTTCGTCTCCTTAGTGGCCTGTCTTCCCAAGGCCTCCTTGATTATTTCCAGCCTTGGGGCCCTTTCGCCTGTCGGCGAGGCTACAGTCCCTGAAACCAGGCAGGGTGTTTTCCCCATTGCTCAGTCCTGCTTTCCAGGTCTGAGTGGGACCTCACTTTTCCCCCTCCCTTTAGACAGGAGGGAAAACTGAGTCTCGGAGGGGCCGGCCTGGGGCCAGGGGCCCTCTGCAGGTCCCTGGGGGACTCTTCCTGCTGCCTGCACCCCTCGCCGCCAGGACCTTCAGGCTTCTCTAGCAGGGACAGGGAAGCTCCGAGCTCCTTGGCCATGGCTGGGGCCTGGGGCGGCCCCCTCAGGGCCGAGTTTATCCTGCTGTGACAGGAGGGGTCGAGAGGCAGGAGTCAAGGTCACCCAGCACATTGGGAAAAAGCCCCCCGGAGGGAAGGTCATGCTCTAACGATTCTTGAGGGCCGCGGGTGGCGGCTCCGGTGAAACATTAACTTGTGGCCGCTCAGGAGGCTGTAGCACCGCAGGAGCTCCCTTCCCCTGGCCACAGGCCCCTCTTCATCTCTCCTGGGGGCCCAGGTTTCAGCTGCAGCTCTAGCCCCGGCTGTTGTGGTGCACTTACTGAGCAGAGAGGATCACTGTTTTGCCTGGGGCAACACCGCGGGGCCAGCCATGGTCCTGGCGCCTCCAGGGGCCCCTGAGGGCCACCCCCACACCCTCAAGAGCTCGGCTGTGGAACGCAGTGTCCTGACGTCACGCTGGTAAAACCCTCCCGTTCTTCCATCAGAGCTGCACCTCTCTCTCCTCTGTCTCTCCAGCTCTCTGTCAATGTCTGTCTCTTTCCCCTCCTTCCTCTCTCTCTCTTACTGTCTCTTTGTCTCTCTGCCTTTCTGGCCCCTCTCCCCCTCCGTTTCTCTCTCGCTGGCTCTCAGCATTTCCATTTCCCTCCTTTTCTCATAAGCAAACACAGGAACAATGAAACTTAACACCCACCTACCCTGTCCCCCATAGCACCCACTGGGTCACGCTCCTGGCCGCTTTCTCTCTTACAACCATCCTCATGACATCCTTGTGTCCTCCTGGTCACTCAGCCCCCCGCCTCCTGACTCAGTCCTAAGGGTGGTACGGAGGTGTGTCCAGGCTGGGCCCGGCGCTCAGACAGTTAAGGGGACCTGCTGGGGGGAACCCTGGACCGCCCTCTTGGGCACGTCCAGTCCTCCCCTACCCTGCTCCCCGGCCAGTCACAGGACTCAGCAGTGGCAGTGAGCGCCAAGCCTGCCTGGGCCTCACAGGGCTTGTGTGAGTCTGGGGCCTTCTCGGGTGGCAGGCTAGGGTCTCCAAACTGTCAGAGCTGGCCTGGGAGCTGAACGTCTCCTTCATGGGCCTCAGGGCCAAGGGACTTCTTTCTGAGGGACCTGATGGTCCTGGCTTCTGACCCCAACAGGGAGCAGGGAGGGGGCTGGGGAGTGTGCGGGCATCCAGCCGCTGTTTCCAGAGGGGGGTCCCTGCAGAGGTCTGTGGGGTGTCCAACACGGGCGCCTGTGCTGGGGCCAGGTTATCTCAGCTGAGCATCTGTGGGCTCCAGGAGAGGGTGCAGGGTGTGGGAGCGATCTCCCCGTCTAGGGGGGCATGGCTGGACTCCTGGGGCCGGGGGGTTTCACATTCATCTCCTCAGGTTCAGCGACGCCTGCGGCATGAGGCGCAGCAGAACAGCGCTCTCCTTCCTGCTGAGTGAGGTGAGTGGTAGGGGTGGCCTTATACAGGCCATGGGGGAGGGGTGCCCAGTGCCCCCCACTTGGAAACACCCAGAGCTGCCTGGAGACTCACTCACAGGTGGGGAAACCAAGGCCCAGAGAAGCCACTAGAAGTCTGAGACTCAGTCCAGGTGTCCAGCCCAAGGCTGCAGCCACTGCTTTTGGGAGCAAGGGACCAGCCAGGCAGGAGAAGCAGGGTCCCTTCAGGTCCCGGAGCAGGATTTGTGACTGGCCAAGGGAGGAAGACCACACCTACGGATCAGGGCGTCTGGGGAGCTAAAGCAGGGTTAAAAGACGGTGGCGAGCCCTGGCCGGGTCGGTCAGTTGGGTTGTCCCCTACACCAAAAAGTTGTGGGTTCGGTCCCCATTTGGAGCGCATGCAGGAGGAAACTGATCAATGTTTCTCTCTCTCTCCCTCTCTTTCTAAAATCAATAAGCGTATCTTTGGGTGAGGATTTTTTTAAAAAGACGGTAGTGAGCAGGGCTTAGGTAGTGAGCTCATCCAGCAGGAGGTGGATTTGAATCCCAGGCTGGTCACTGGCACCTGAGTGGCTGGTGGCCTCTCCAAGACTATTTTCCTGCGTAAAGAAAAAATGAGCTAAAATTGTGTGGCTTGAGAGAGCTCAGGATGAGCCGGCAGGCAAGCTCCCGCACACGTTGACCCATTTCTCCACGCCCTGTCTCTGAGCCACACCCTCCTCTGTACTGCGGGGCCTCTTCGCACTCCCCCCAAACATCCAGCTTACGGCATCCGTCGCTCCCTTCCCACACGCAGCGCCTGCTGTGTGGGGGGCCTGGTGCCGGGGCGCGGGGCACAGAGGCTCACGGGCTGGGGAGACGGATGGTGAAGGCAAGAAATGAAGTGCGGGGAGGGTGGGTGTAAGTGGGGCTGCCAAGGCTGGGATGGAAGGGCTCTGAGGAGGTGACAGCTGAGCTGGAGAATGGATGGAAGCAGCCGCCAGCCATGGGGAGAGCTGGGGGAAGGATGTTCTCCTCAGAGGGCGCAGCTCCTGCAAAGGCCCTGAGGCAGGTGTGGGGATCAGGCACAACAAGGAGGCTGGTGAGGCTGGGGCACGTGGGGTGAGGGGAGGTGGAGAGAAGACGGAGGCAGAGGTGGGATGGGCAGGGACCGGGACACAAGGGGCCGCAGGGACTGCCGAGAGGGGTGTGAGTTTTGTTCTAGGGTCGCAGGGAGCCACTGGAGCAGGCAAGGGACAGGTTCAGGGTTTGTCTTAGAGGCAGGATTTGGGGTTGCAGCCAGGGCCAGCACATATCAGGGTCTTGGGGATGGACAAACCAAAAGGCAGCTTCTCAGCCTCTTTCCAAGCCCTTCCCTACCCGGGTTCCCTGCAGTCCTCCTCGCCTCTTCGCCGCTGCCCCCCCACCCCCCCTTGGTCCTCACTCCAGCCTCTCAACCAGGAAAGCAATTAGTCTGGAGTGGCAGGTTGATGAATGCTGCAGCTGAGAGGCCAGGAGGCTCCTCCCCTTCTCCCCCTGCAGCTCTGAGACACCCCATCCCCACCCCACCCCCCTTTAGATGGGGGAGGGGCAACAGGCTGGATCCTGGGAGTTGCTGAAGCACCTCCTTATTGAACCCATTGCAGGGGCTGGCGACTCCTCCCCTCAGGGCCTGTCCTGTCTGCTTCGCCCCCAAAGCAGCTGGCCCTCCGCAAACATCTGGCTTCCTCCACTGGCTCTCCTTGGCCGGAGCGGGGGCGGGGGGGGGGTGGTCACAGGACACTCACACCAAACCTGGATTGGCCCTGATATTGGTGCTTTTCCCCAAATATTCCCCATCCGGATAATGGTAGCCCTACCTACCCAGGTAACCGTGATTACTAGTTAACCGGAAGGTGATAGTGACCCATTATGGACGCCAGGAGCCCTTGAATACCTTTGAGCATCCTGCAGGCGTGCCCCACCTCTCGGCCTCCAAAACATCCCAAAGGTACTCACAGGCCCTGCCCAGGTCCACGCTCCACCATTGGCCGCCCAGTCTCAGCCCTGCCCCTAAAAGTCCCTACTCCCTGAGGCAGACACAAGAGGCTTCTTAAAAGCATAAAGCAAATCACATCCTTCAAAAGCTCTTAGTCCACTCCCGGATTCGATTCCCAGTTCCTCACCCCACCCCTGAGGCCCTGCATCAACTCCTTGCTCCACTCCCACCTCCTTCTCTTCCTCAAACCCACCAGCTTTTCCCACCCCAGGGCCTTTGCACGTGCTCTTCCTTCCACCTGGCCTGCTGTCTCCCAAGCTCTCTCCTGGGTAGCTTCTCCTCTTTCAAGGCTCAGCTCAAAGTCACCTCCTCAGAAAGGCCCCTAACTACACCTGAGTCATATTACACCCTCATCACTCTTCAGGCCCTTACACGGCTTAATTTTTTTCTAGCACTATAGGAATTATTTTTCATATTTGCTGAATAAATGAATGAATGAGTGTGGGCAAGTGGTTTTCCCATCTGGAGCTCAGTTTCCCCAAGCAGAAAACGAGCAGCTGACACCATTGGGTTTCCTGTCGTGAGAGAGGCCTGCTGCCCACCCACACCCTACTCTCCACTTTCCCCGAACACACTCCCAGCTGCTGGGAGCCTCCCTTCCTGGGAGAGGCCAAATATTGATTACTTAGATTTCTGCATCACAATCCAGGTGCCCGGAGTGGGGAGGGGGGAGGGTGGGAATAGTCATTGGTGCTTAAATGTGTGTGTGTGTGGGGAGGGGGAACAGCCAGGGACTCTGGGTCCTAGAAAGATCAAATCTGTACAAAGAGCCAGGGGTGGGGGTGGGGGTGGGGAGCTAAACAGCCTCCAGCTGTGTGACCCTCAGTTGGTCACTTCTCTCTGAACATCAACATCCTCCTCTGTGACAGGGAAGCAAGAGGAGAGAAAGCGCCGGGCAGTTTTTCTGCACCCAGGAGGGGCTCTGAGGTGTGAACTGATAGGCCCGCCTCTCACCTTCTTCCCCGCTCTCCCCCTCCCCCGCCCCGGCTCTGGCCTTAATCAGCCCTGTGGTCTGGACCTCGGCTTCCAAATCTGAATGTTTAGTCTGATGGCGGAGACAGACGCATTGGTGAGGCTCAGGGGCAGAGCAGGAAAAGGCCGCTCTTTCGAGCTCCACCTCTCCTGCGTCCCCATTTACGTCTTTGACCCCCAGCACACTCTGTTCTCTGGATTCCAGTTTAGGTGTCAGTCCTCGGGGGTCAGCACCGCGGACAGTTCCCGGCCTGTGACGCGTGGTGCGGCCCCCTATCCGCACAGGGAAAGTGGTACCGTTTTCATCCCCACCTTCACAAATGGGGAAACTGAGGCACACTTGCCCTAGGGCGCGCATCATGAACTAAACCCACTCCAGATCTGTTGGGCTGGAGAGCTTTCATTCCCGACTCATTAATTCAGTCTCAAGTGTTTATTCAAGAGCATGTTCGCAGACAACATTTCATTTAATTTCTCCTTTTCAGTCCTTCCTTCAAGACATGAACTGAGGTTCAGTATGCAGAATCCTAGCTCCACCATAAAAAATTTTTTATTTTTATTTTTTAGAGAGAGGGGAAGGGAGAGAGGAAGAGGGAGAGAAATATGGATCGGTTGCCTCTTGCACGCCCCCAACTGGAGACCTGGACTGCAACTCAGGCATGTGCCCTGACCAGGAATCAAACCAGTGACTTTAGGATTTGTGGAATGACACCCAACCAACTGAACCAGACCAGTCAGGGTGCATGTTTTATTTTTATATTTTAGTAAATAATATAATTAATGACATACCATTAAATTGCCTATTTGCATAACAACTATCAGTATATATTATGTCATGTAATAAATAATGAATATACTTTGTATTAATTGATTGAAAAATAAATATTGCCATAATGCCTACTGCGGGCCAGGCACTATTTGCATTTTGCAAGATTGAAGTCCATCTCCCCATTTCAAAGATGAGGAACTGAGGCTCAGAGAAGTAAATTAACTCAGGAGAAAAGTAGGACTGAGATACAGTTCTCTGGGCCAGTCCAGGTGTCTGGGTGAAGGGACCTCAGAGCCTCGTGGTCCCTGGGAAACCAGGAAGGTACCCCGGAAACTCACTCATGTCATGTCACTGTCTCCCTAGCATGTCCGAGAGTCTGTGGATTCTGGCTCAGGCCCTGTGAGTCCCCTTGGCAGTGGTGTCATCTGGAGACGCTTCTCAGGGACCCCATTGCTGCCCCCGCTGTCGAGCCGCCTCGGGCCCCCTGGAGAAACTGAGCCCAGCGCCTCTGTGGTGTTCACCATTGGGGCTCGAGGGACAGAGCCAAGCCATGGTTCAGCTTCAGGCAGGTGAGGAGGCAGATGGGGATCAAGGGAGCCAATCCGGGGAGAGGAAAATGCCTCGTTTAGCTGGACCTTTTTTAACATGTTCATAAAACATTTATTAAGCAGCTACTATGCGCCAGATCCCATACTGGAGACGCAGCCATGGGCAAGCAGATGCTCACAGGCTGATGTGAGATACCAGCTGGAGAGATGAGGGTGCCATGGAGCCCAGAGGAGGCTTCTGACCAGCATTGGGGGGTAGAGCGTGAGAAAGGGCGCTTCAAAGAAATGGCACTTAAAGATGAAGTGGTGGCTTAAAAGATGTAGAGAAGTCAGCGAGGAGGAACGCTGGGGAGGGTATACCAATTAGGCGGAACAGATTGTGCAAAGCCTCAGACTCAAGAGGATCAGGTATACGAGGAATCGCATGCAGATCAGTGTGTCTGGAGGGTGGGAGGGGAGCCTGGGGAGGTGGGCGGGGGCTGGACCACACAAGACCTCATGGGATGTAATGGGGAGGCACGGGTGGGTCTTCAATAGAGTGAATTGATACAGTGGGCATTTGAAAATATTCTCTCTGGCTGCTGTGGGGGGAACTGTCAGGGGCAGGGGTGGAAGTGGCAGGAGCCCAGCGAGGAGATGGCTCGGGGAAGGAGATGGTAGTGCCTGAACCAGGGTGGGAGCCTCGGGCTGGAGAGAAGTAGGCAGACGTGGGAGTTATTTATGAAGCATTCACACCACGCACTGGTGGACACCAGCAGAGGGTAAGAGAGAGGGGGGACTGGTGTGGACAGCTCCTGGCCTTCGACCCTTTACATGTGACAACACTTCCATCCTTGCAATGATGCCAGGCTGTGGGGACACCATCGTTGTCTCCATTTTCCAGAAGGGAAAACAGGCTTGGGGAGGGGAAATAACAGCTGGCTGGCCGCAGAACACGTGCCCCCGACGAGTGGGTCCAGTTGTCCCTCACTGTCAGTTTTGGAGGCCAGGGGACTGAGGAGGCCAGAGACTGAGCCATGAAAGTAAAGGACAGAGAGGAGTCATTTGCTTTTCATCGCCCAGCAAGACATGGCAGTAGTGAGGCTGGAGTTCTGTCTGTCTGGTTCTCTGGCCCAAACATTTTTCCATCTCTCCAACCTGCATATACAACTAGGGTAGAGTGTAGGGTCTCCACGGGAAATATTATTAGAATATCCTCTGGGCCCTGTGAAAAATCAGGGCTCTCCTGTTCTCAAATTTTCTGCACCAAGTGGCCTCAAAGGCCTCCCTACCCCACCCAGCCCAAAAGCCTACACTACCCAGCCCAAAAGCCTACACTGCCCAGCCCCGTTCCCGTCTACATCTGCTTCTTTTAACCATGACAGGAAATGTTCTCACCCTCCCTTTGCCACTTCCCAGGAAATTACCCCTGAGATTAGAATGCGTGGTGGGCAGTGCTTTGAATTCCTAAAACTGCGGAAGGGAGGGGCAGGGCCCATGGTGTGTCACAGGGCAGATGAGATCCTGACATTTCTGCTGAGGGTCTGGGCATTAGCGTGGCTATAAAAGGGTGTCCTTCCCTACCCATTCCCACTGTTGGCACCCCTGGCCAGAGGCAGCTTCTGTGTGCCCACCCCCGGCATGCAAGTTTGTCTGTCCTTTCTGGATCCCTACCCTCTGTGGGTGGAAGGCTTTAGGACTCCAAAAAGACCCCATCTGGGGCTGAACTGCTAAGCCTACCTTCCTGAGCTTGGTGCAGAGACGGTCATTTGTGCCTACCTCTGAAGACCAGAGCCCTTGACTCTGCTTCCAGACTCCTTCTTGCTGTCGTCACTGGGGAGGGTTGAGGACCCGCCGCTGTTCAGCTTTCAGCACCAACTGAGCGGACGGCGCCCTAGTCTGGAGGTGCTCAGAAACCCCTGTGTCCCTGCCCTGACTTCAGCACCGACAGGTGGAGGACAGCAACTCGCTGTCTCTTCCACCCCAGGATCTATTACCTTCTTCCCATTCAACCAAAAGAAGGGACGGTGCCTTGGCGGCAGGGGTCTCCCAAGCCTCTGCCTCTCTGCTCTCCATTCGGCAGCAACCGGGAGGACGGTTTCTGTCTTCTCCACTTCAAGCCCATGTCTTGACTTCTTTCGTTCAGCACTAGAGGAAACGACAGACCATTCTCGGCGCTGGGGGTCTCCCCAGCACCTGTCTCCAACTCCCACGCCCAAGTTTTCCACTCCCCCACCCCCGCTATCCTTCAGCACCACTTGGCACGGACAGCTCCTCGGTGTCAGCCCCACCTTGAGCCCCTGCTTTTCTACCTTCACTGCTCACCGCCACCGGCGCGGACAGCTTCTCGCTGTCACCGCCACCCCCCGCCCTGGCCGGACCAGGGCGCAGACACTGACACTCCTCGTTCAGGGACAGCTCTCGAATCCTCTTTTCCCTGCTTCCCTCCTCTGGCGCATGGAGACCCCGGGGGTACAAGAAGGGGCGGAGGCATGCAGCGAGCTGAACCGCGCTCTCAGCCGCCAAGGCTTAGCCAGATTCCCGAAGCACCTGTGGCGGCAGCCGCGGCGCCCCATCCGTATCCAGCAGCGATTCCACTCGGACCCGGACAAGTCCGCGGGCCACAGCGAGCTGGACCAGGGCCCGCGGCCGGGGCTCGAGAAGTCACGGCGTTCCTGGCCCACCTCCTTCCGCAGGCGGTAGGTGGGCGGGGGCAGGGCCCTCCCAAGGCGTGGGGGAGGGGTGCAAGGGGTCGAGTGAAAGTGGGGGAGGGTCCTTGCTTCTCCAGGGGCCGGCGTCTCTACCTTTTGTCTGAGGCTGGTGCTGTAGATGAAAAAGCTGTTTTTACGTGGGGTGAAGCTGGAGGTGGTGGTGTCGTGATTGTTTATGGGTGTGTGTGCGCCCGGTGTGCCAGGTGCGGTTGCATCTAAGTGTATGCGTGAGTCTGAGCGATTGCGACCCTGACTGTGCTCCGACCTGCTGCGTGCATGTCCACGGCCAGCTGCGTCTCTCTGGGGTGACTGCATGTGCTTGGTTGTATGTCCACCAGTTGTGTGTCTGCCTGTGTGTTTTCCCCTTGTGGTCCTTTCGGGTGTGTGGACCGGCGTGACTGTCCTTGTTGTAACCCAGTCGACGTCCTCCAGACCCTGGAGTGTCCTCGGGTGTTTGTGGGTTTGTGACCACCGCCAGCATCAGAGAGGGCCAGGTTGGGCTGTCCTCAGCCCTGGGGGAGGAGCTTCCGCTGTGGCCAGTCCCGCCACCAACCCCCTTCCCCAGCGCCCCGCCCCCTGTCCCCGGAAGGAGGAGGGGAAGCCTCTTGGGGAGCCTGAGTACAGGACGTTTCTTCCCTTAAGAAAAGATGGGGTGGAGAAGGGGGGTGAAGCGGGAAGGGCTGCTCCTCCTGTTTCGTGTCAAGAGGAGTGGGACAATGAGAGAGGAAAGAAACAGCAGATGAAACAGGGGCCTTGAGGGGGCCAGCGGTGGGAGTCTCCAGTTGCGCGGCTGGGGCTGAGAGCCCAGGAACAGGGTCCAGGAGCCCTGGGCCCTCGGTGGGCGGCAGGGGGAGCCAGAGCAGGCTGGAGCGACAGTCCTGGGCTTGAGGTCGGGCTGGTGACCTCGGAGGTCATTGTTCCCTCTAGATCTTTATTTTCTCCCACCTTTGTCCATGGACCTCCTGGGGCTACTAGCTTCTTGATCAACAAGCCTGGCCTAACCTCCCAGCCTGGCCCTCTAGAAGCCCTGGGAGGTGCCTGGAGCAGCTGGGATCCATGGTCCAAAAGGGCTGGAGTTGTTCCCAGGTGACCCAGCCGGCCCCCTGCCCCCAGCTCCCCGCCCAGGCACTCAGCTCCTCCTGCCCCGCCTCCCAGTGACTCATGATTTTCCATCTTCAAGAAAGAACAAACAGAGACTGGGTTTGGCCCCGTTTAGGAGGGGAGCCCATGTGGCTCTGAAAGGTTCCGGAAGGAGTGTGTCCCTGTGAGTGTGCACTGGCACACCCTGTCTGTGCATATATGTGCTGATGTGGGGGAAGGGGCTCAGCCCTTAGGTTCAAAGCCAAGTGGGTTCAAGGTCAATCTGCGGGGCGCTCCCCAGCAAGTGGAGGGTGTCAGTGAAATACAAACACACATCTGTACTTTCTGCATTTTGTTAAGAACTTTCTGTGTGGAGGCCTGGTCCCCGCTGTGGCTCTCCTCCCCACTGCCTCAGGTGGATCACCTTGGATCTGGGAGGGTCCTAGCATCTTGTTCAGCAAAGACTTATTAGCTACCTACTGTGTGCCAGGCCCTGCACTGGGGACACAGCTTATAGGCAAGCAGGTGATCACAGGCTGATGGTGGAGAGATACTCATAGTGCGTGGAGACAGAAGGCTTGTGACCCAGCTTTGGGGGTTAGGGTGTGAAGAAGGACTGTTTGGAAGAGGTGGCATCTAAGCTTAACCTGAAGGATGAAGAGATATCAGCCAGAGGGAGTGCAGGGAAGGGTATGCCAATTAGATGGAACGTCTTGTGCAAAGCCTCAAACTCAAGAGGATCAGGTAGATGAGGAGCTGAGTACAGGTCAGTGTGGCTGGGAAGTGGGAAGGAAAGCTCCCTATTCATTTCCCAAGCACTTATTGAGAACCTACTAAGTGTCAGGGCACAGCTGGGAGCAAGGCAGACCTGGTTCTACCCTCAAGGTGTTGGTGGGCAAAGCAGAAACCATGATAGTAAATGTGAAATTGTACCTGTGAGAGGAGGCTGCTTTGAGAATATTTACCCAGCTGGTCAGGGAGGACTTCCTGGAGGGGGTGATGCTCCAGCTATAATGTGAAAGGTGAAGAATAAGCCGGGGGAAAGTGTTCAGGCAAGGGCATGGGGTGAGAATGAGCCTGGCTGGTTCAAGGAACAGCAAGGAGAGGGGAGAAGCTGGAGCAGAGTGAGCCAAGAGGGACAGGGCAGGGGTGGGGGGAGAGCCAGCAGGGGTTGGCATCACAGGGCCTCCAGGGAGGTGTGGATTCAGATGAGAGGGCAACGAGGAGCCACAGAGGGTCTGGAGCAGAGGA